TTATCTATCTAACTATCTATCTATTCTGTACATCTAGGTATATATATATATATATATATATATATATATATATAATGTATAATATATTATTACATATATATATGTAAATAATTTTGTCAAAATCTCGTTAACAATGACTTCGCAAAAAACTGTGCTTTTGGACAATACAATCCGCAATTTAACAACCAAGAATAAAATATTCTAGAGAATAGAGGTTTAATTTTTACGGACGTTATATAATTACATTTGATTTATTTCAATAATAAATTCGTTTACTTCTAATACCTCTCTCACACACAACATATTTAATAATCTATTATAATTACAGTTGAAAAAAGTCGTATCTCTCTTCTTCTTCTCCTCCTCCTTCTTCTTCTTCTTGTGATTCGTACAATATGTACGACAATATGATTTATTAACGCTAATGTATCGTTATATATCGCTGCATTTTATTAAATAAAATTAATAAGTGGCACATTTACCAAAGGCATTTTTTTTATTCTTTCAAAAAGTCGGCTTATAATAGGAAAGTATGGCCAAACCTGAGGAAAATATCAATGAACTGAAATGAAATTCAGTTCGGTCTTATGTTTGAATGCGAGGTATAACTGGACCAGTTATCCTTATAAAATCTCTAACGTCCCATCACCATTTGTACTTGTACTCTTGGGAAAGGGAAAAATATTATCTAAATAAAATTAAAAAGAAAAAAGGTTCTCCGTTTACATAAAAATTAAAAAAAAAAAAAATGAGAAAAAAAAATATATATATATATATATATTCAAAAGCGTAAGATTATCTCATAATATAAAAACATAATAAAATCAACTAGAGTTTATTGCCATAAAAATTACGGCGTTTGACCGGAAAGCATTTCTTCTTGTTGTATTTTTCTTCGATAGTTATCCAACGTTACTTGTATAGTCTTCTCCGAATATCGGCAGTTTTCAGCTCCACAGGTACATGTGAAAGACTTGCATTTTATTATCCAGAATTTTTCCCCATAATCGAAGCTGAAGGCAAACAATGTCAATGAATATTGATCTTTATTATTTGTAAACGTACAAAATTTTAAATCAATTCATATTTCATTAGAAAGAAAATAAAAAGTAAAATATTTTAAAACGACAAAACATCGCCTTATAATCGTCGATAACGTAACAATAGTTGTTCAAAGAGGAAAATTTTCAAATTAAAGATAATAAGAAAATAATATGAAAAGCAACAAAGGTAAAGACTAAGCAACTAAAACCAAACTTGAAGAAAATTTATTAACGAAATTCATATGAAACAGTATCTAGGTATTATAAACAGAGTCGTTTCAAAATTCATCGGATGAATCTAGGTTTTCTAACGTACCCAAGTTCCTCGTCGGCTTCGATATCTCGATTAGCAAAGAATGCTATCCTAGGAAAATGCAAATCTTGATGTTCAACAAACACTCGTACTGGTAATAAATTAGGTGCGCAAGAATGATTAATAAATCGTGCAATATTTCCATAACGTCTTGCATCAATGCAATATGTTTCTCCATCCTATAATTATATACATATAACATATATTAAATATTATTTAAGTAACAATTAATATTAATAAGAATAATTCTTTATGCTCACTCGATTATCTAAATCAAATAAATATGAATCATCCTCTCGATGATCGGCTTCAGAATCCGATATAATTTCTCCCACATATTCACAGACATATGTACCCTTTGGAATATGGCGTAGGGTTCTAAGGCCCCAACCTTTACCCTGTGTCCTAAATAACTGAAATCTCTGTGTCAAACCATGCTGAACAACTCGATTGTTACAAGTTATCCTATTACAATCACAAGCTGGATTGCATTCAAATAACATGGGAGGATCTGAATTGATTAAATGATTATTTATATAACTAATTATATGTATATATAACTAATAAATCTCCGTTTAATAACATATTATAAAAATATATTTACCAGTATAATTAAATTCTGGAATAAGTTTACCTTCTTCATCATACCAACATCTTAAACTTATATTTCCACAGAGACATTTTTCAGAACTACAATTATCTTCGCATCGACATGATTGCAAAGATGTTATTGTACGATCAACTTGTATATTACTGGTAAAACAATTTTCAGTTACATAAAGAAAATCTGTTGGCTTATCTTCAGAATCATGACCATTAACGCATTGTATTGGATTTGTTTCTTTACCGCGTGAAATGTCACTATAAAGATAGGATACTTTCAATTGAAATATCTTTTAGACATGTAATATTTTATTATTGACAAACAAACTTACTTCGTCAATATTTTAACAGTTTTTTCCCACATATGTTCAGACAATTCATTAACTTTAGCATTTAATCTTAATGCCGATACAGTATCACCGTCATTTAAGCAACAATTAACAGCTGTCTCTCCAGCAGCATTTATTTCTCCTATTTTTGCTCCTCTAGCTAATAATAAAACACTAACTGCATACTGATCTTGTCTTGCAGCAATGTGCCTGCAAAAATATATCAATTTATTAAAGTTCAATTCCTTATATCATATATAATTATTTTCATAAATAGGAAAATCATTATTTTATCAGAATTCAACTTACAAAGGAGTATCTCCATGAACATTGACTGCATTTACATCACATCCTTCATTTAAAAGCATTTCAGTAATCTCTGCACTTCCACTATAAGCGCTCCAGTGAAGTGCTATATTCTGTTCAGCATCCCTGATTAATGGATCACATTTCTTATCTAATAGAAACCTTGCTACATCAGTATGACAAAATTCACATGCCCAAATTAAACTTGTCCATCCTCCATCATCGACAGAATCTAATGAATGAAATAATCAAATTAATATGATAACAACAATCAAATAAATTTCAATCCATTTAATTTTAAGACGTATAAAATTAAAAGATTATTTTATTACCTACTAAAGTTCTTGGAACTTTACATTCAGTTAAAATAATTTGACATACTTCTAAGTGACCAGATTTTGCAGCCATATGTAAAGCAGTCATGCCATCTTCACCTTTCATAGTTACATCTGCACCTATCCTAACTAAATATTTTACCACGTCAGATTTTCCTTTACTAGCTGCTAACATCAAAGGTGTCAATTGATTTCTATCCATCACGTCCAATTGAGCACCAGCTTGTACTAAAACATGCACACAAGACAAATGACCCTTGTCTGCAGCAATGTGTAAACCACTACGATGAGCATATTCTCTGAATATATGATTTGCATTGTAACCGCATGCTAAAAATGTAAAATATTTATTATCATTATATATTTTATTTATATATCAAATAATTTAAATGTGCAGAAAAACTGACCTAAAACATTAACCAACTTTTCTAAATCGCCATTTTTCACAGATGTATAAAGACTCATAATAGTATAACGTTCAGGTCTTTCTGTGCTAACTGATGGTTCTGGTATTTTAATAATCTCAGGCTTTATTAAAGGACTAGGTGGACGTTCCGCTAATTTTGTATTATCACCTTTACCAGGTAAGCTCATTTTTGCGGATGGCAATTTAGAAAATTTTTTTCGAGTTGGTATAAATACAGGTCTTCGCATTCCACTCACTGTCACGATTACATCATAATTTGTACTTTCACTTCCACAATGTGGACAAGCTGCTTTTTTAAGTGGATATACTTCACATTCTTTATGATATTGATGGCCATTAGTACATCGAGCAAATCTACCTTGTGTACAAAATAATCCACAAGAAGGACAACAATTATGTCTTAAAAGTCTTTCTTTATGCATCCGACATAATATTATAAAAGGAACTCGAGTACTAGGTCTTCTCATTGCAACGTCATTACTATCAACTTCATTACAACATCCAACCATTCTACCATCAATAGAATCTATAGCTGTACAATAAAGAGGTGCACCAGAGCCTGTTATTGTCACATAAAGTTGAGATCGTACTTGACATAAACACAGCATAGATTGTCCATATGTCTGAAAATAATATTAATGATTATTATATTGTTATTACTATTATTATTATTATTATTATGAATAATTATATGTGAACTTACTTCACTAACAACAGCTGTAGATTCTGGTTTTGAAGCTTGTCCTTCTGCAGGACTTGGACTAGGAGCCATACTTCGACGGGTTCTTTTTGCAGGTACAGCACCTTCTAAAAAATGATCTTAATATTATTAAATATTTTACATCAATAATATGAATATTTGAAATCTGATTTACCTTCAGGATAATCATTGTGCTTTCCTGCTTCTGCAACACTTGGTGTACCATCTGCAATTAATATTCTATTGAAAAGATGTTCAAAAAAAAAAAGAAATATATATTTTATAATTGACATTACCTTCAAACGAATCTGCTTTAGCTATTTTTCGTGCAGCTTGACTTCCACGAGGACGACCTCTCTCTTTTCTTCGTTTACCACCAGTAACAGGTTTTAAAAAAGGTTTTTCTATATCTGCTAAAGGTGTTTCATCGCTCAAAGGACTACCAATAGAACTACCTAATTTTGTTTGTACATCTGAACTTCTCGTCATAGGAGATAATTTAGGCATACCATCAAATTCAGAAGAATAGCTTTGAGATTCATCCAAACTCGTATCATTCATATTTCCATCTCCTAATGTAGTATTTCTAAAGGTCTCTGAATTCATAATTACCTCAAAAGCATTATCTATTTCTGGAATAGGTGGTTCTGATTCTTGACGAGCTTTCCCTTGAGATAGTTTTTTTGGTCGTCCAGGCTTATTGTACTTTCTTTGCTTTTTAAGGTTCAAATGTTCCTCAGTATAATTAGACTTTTCTTTTATTGCCATAGCACTTTCTAAAACTGTACTTTTAAAGGATTTTTTGCACAATCTTCTTGCAGAACGTTTTGGACCAGGATTTTCTTCTGTTGAATCACTAAAAATGTCACGGAATGTTTACAAATATCATAAACATATATATTTATGAATATAAAATAACAAAAAAATAAAAAACCTAAGTGTTCTTAATCTAGGTCGTCCAACTCTTCTCTTTCTGGTTATTGGCGTAGTAGATAGTGGTGGTTCAGGAACGTTGTCCGAAGGAACAAGAGTTTCATCAGTAACAGCTGTCTTTTCGTTGTTCTTTTCATCAATTACAGGTTGTTCTGTATTCTTACTCTTTTCCACTTCCTTAACTTGCTTCTCTTTTTCTTCTTCTACTTTTTCTCCTTTTACTTTATCTTTATCCTGATTATCTTCTTCCATTGGCTTCTCTTCGATTTTACATTCCTCAGAATCAGACTTCTCTAAGATATCAGAATTTTCATCTGGACTTTCTATCTTAACGGAAACACCACCAATTTGATCACAATTGACCAATTCATCCGGTACTAAAGTGAGGTTGGAAGAACAGCTGGATATTTTAGTTTTCTTTCCATGATCCGTATTCTCGTCAATAGTTCTAAATGTTAAAACTATACGTGGAATATTGTTATCTTTCTTTATTATTTCTTGTTTAAGAGTACCTTCATCGTCACATTGATGATTTTCTTCTACTACCGGTTCAATGTTACTTTCCTCTTGTGATGTTGTTGTTGTTGTTGCAGTCGTTATTATTGATGCCACCGCCATCGTTGTTACTGGCGTTGTCAATGTCGTCGTAGTCGCTAACATCGTCGTCGTCGTCGTCGTCGTAGTCGTCGTCGTAGTCGTCGTTGTCGTTGTTGTCATCGACGTCATCGTCAACGCTGCCGGTGCCGCCGCAGCCGTTGTCGTCGTCGTAGTCATCATCGTCGTAGTAATCATTGGCGTCGTTGTTGTTATCTCCGTACTCGTTGTAGTTGTAACATCCTCAGATTTGTCCAGGTTAGAATTCCCATCAATGCCATTTGATATTTCATCAACAATTGTCGTCGTCGATGATTTTTGGGAATCCTCATGATCCAAATTTTCAGAGGGTCGATTAACATCCAAGCTTTTAATTGGACTTATACTTTTATTAAATTCATTGGTCATGCCTTCGAGGATCTGCTGGATACTAACTTTATCCTCAACACCACCGGCCATGTCCGAATCTTCGCCCTCTTCTTGACTACCCTCTTTCGTATTAGCGGCATCCTGACTTTTACACTCGGACATGGCACCGTATAAAAAAAACACTCGAAGAAACACGTCACGAGGTTCAGAAAAATCGTAGCGAATAAATGTTAAAAAGTCAAGAAATAATAATTATTAATTAGAATATCTATGAACTATTATCATGGCACCGGGTAAACGTAAAACGGAAATGAATTCGGTCCAACGATGGATTACACACCGATTTAAATGCATATACCTATATACACATACACACACAAATATATGTATGTATGCATATGTGCATTGTGTATTACGTGTGTATGTACATGCATGTAATATCTTACGCGCTATGTTCACAAACTATAATCATTTAATATTTCTTTTTGACTGAACACTGTTACTCAATTACTTCTTATCACTACGAAAATGAACTTTACCAAATCGGTTAGCGTCTTGACTAATTTATTTTCAAGGTAACACGTTCCTATCGATGGTATTTCGAGAAAAACCTGCTCTGCTCTGTTGGGCCCCGCGTAGAACTGGAGGCCATATTGATTGCTCAGGGACGCGCTGATCCAAGCGAGGAATTTATTTTTAAAACGATCCTAAAGAACGAGCCCTTATCTTATTAAATTACTCGTTAATGTTAGTTATTTCTCAAGATCAACAAATACTTTTTATCTAAATCAATCGATTAATTAAACAAATAAATATTTCTTTTAAATTATATTACTTTTTTAAATACGTTAACTGTTGAAAACGCTTCCGTTTTAATTCATATCTTTAATTCTTATGCTCGGAATATACTTCACTCTAATTATATATATATATATCATATCATTCTTTTTAAGTTATGATACTTATTTTTAAATATGGCTTTTTTTATTTATAGATAAAAAAAAGAAAGGATATAATTATATCACAAATCAGAATTCTATCGTTAACATCTTACGATCTCTATTTCTTTATGAGATTATTTTTATTAAACCGATATTTTTTGAATGCACGTGTATATTAAAATACGTACTAATTCATATTGCCTTAATAGATCATGTTTTATAATCAAATTTATGGTTATGTTTCGAAGAAAAATATGAATTAACGAATGACGATACAAAACGTTTCTATATACGTTCAAATTGTTATATAATTAATGACGTTAATTTGTTCCTTATAATAAATATATAGTAGTATTTAGAAATAAAAATAAAACATTTCTGCACTTCCGGTAGATTATTACATACACATATATACGTTTTTTTCTTTTGGATATTTCCATATATATAATGATTATTATAATTTATTTATATGAATAAGAGAAATAGATAAAATAAAATTACTTACATAATGTAATTACAAAACAATAGTATGAAAAAGGAGAAGAGAAAAAGATAAAAGAAATTAAAAATAAAGAATCAAAGAAAGAAAGAAAGAAAGAAAGAAAGAAATACGACTGTGTGTGTGCCGACAATAAAACTTTATACGATTCATATAAATATAAGTTTATTTACATTGCAACAGATCCTCCATTGTCAAATAAGCGACAAAAGAGTAAAAATTACGCGTGTACGACTACACGAAGTTAATGAATAAATGTTAATTAAGAATAATTACAACGCGTCCTAGAGCCCAAAACACACGCCTCTCTTAAATAATATACATAGATTAGAAATTTTATAGTCTCAGAGGCGCGAAAATTGTGCCTTTCATTGTTTTTTTTTTTTTGTTTTTTTTTACACGGGATACATATATATTTTTCTGTTTATTTTTAATATATATTTATATATATGTATATATATGTATATATATATATACCCGTTTAGAACGATACTTCTTCTTATTCTTCTTCTTCTTCTTATTGCGATTTGGTTTGCGTTAGATCGTTCCTAACTACGGCCGCAGAGTTCATTTGGTATATTACAAACGATAACAAAACGTGGAAAAATTCGCTGAGGGTTGATTCGATTAAACGAGCATCGTTGCAAAGGCCGTCTAGGGAAAAAGAGAATAATTGCAATATTTTCGCATATCATCAGTCTTTCTCCCAAATAACGTATGTATCTCGTGGATCTTTGTTTTTGTTTATTATTATTATTATTATTATTGTTGTTTTGTTTTATTTTTTTATTTTTTTTTATCCCCCAAAAAAGAAGCGTAAACGAAGAGCAATAGGAACGGTTTACGCGTTCGGTACGTAAATAGATACAACCGCAACCCCACCCCCTTACCACTCAATCCTAATCCCAATTCCCATCCCCTTCCTTCCCTTCCTCTTACCATCCCTCTCATGATTAATGTTTTTAGAAAAATGTCGAGAGTAACTTACGTTTTCCCCTATTATTTCTTCTTTTTTTTTTTTCTTGTGTTTATACAAGCGATATAAAAAGTCGAACATCGTATTGCATTTCTATATAAATATATTATGTCGATAAGAGAATCATTGACGATTGAGAATAGTTCACACGTTACAACACGTCATGGTCATGAAAGCTGTGCAAAGATTAGTTTCACAGACCGTTCCCTTTATAACGAAAAGAGAGTTTATATTTATATATATATATATATTTTTGTTTTCTTATATATACACGAACGGTCTTTGACGCCGTATTATTATAAACGTATGTATGACTCGAATAACAAGCCCCTTTTTAAACCGTAGAAGTTTTTAATTAATTCGAGGTGCTCGAGTATTAAAGATTTTTCATTTCTTTAACTTTTTATCCACACACTATGAAAGAACACCATAAAGACAAATTTGTTTTGTACGCGAATCCTCGTTGAAGTACGATTCCCACCCTCTCAATTCTCCCTATATTAGATGCACGTGATTGCTTGAACGACTCTTTTCGTGTATGGCACCAATAAGGGATCAATTTTAATATTAACGGTGGGTTATGGTGGCGGAGGTCTTCTTTGAGGTTCGGGAGTGTAGCGTAAACGAGCTCGAACGTGCTGAGGGCTGCCAGGTACTGAATTGCTTTCTGACAATCTCCTAGGTGGAGGTTGGGGTGGAGAAGGTGATATGTACCTGCGGCAAAATATATATATGTATATATATTTTGAAGCGATTGTTTTTTAATTATATATTAAATTTATTAAATTAATTTCACACCTTCTGGAGAAAGAAGGAGATTGTTGATCTCCTATATTCCTTCTTAAAGCAAGGGGTGATTCGCCACGATTCAATCTCGGGGGTGGCTCCGGTGAAGGAGCACGATCACTTCCGAGCCTAAGACGAACGTACGATGCAAAACGTTTCTTTGCAGATTCCTTGGATCCACCTTGAGACGGTGACATCGGGGGTGGTTCTTGTGTTAATTGATGCGCGAAACGTGATATTAATAATTGAGGACTGGTTGAACCATGAGAGCCTTGAGTAGGTGGTTCTGAAGGAAACCTAGATTTTGGTAATAAAAATATATATACATTAGATGATACTATATATTATAATTCAATTTAAAATATATATTTCAAATTGTACAAACCTCTTACGACTAATCATAGGACTTCCATATATATCCTGACTTTGTGGATGAGTTTGAGGTGCAGTTGGAATCTGACCGAGTCTTTGCTGTAAGAATGGAGAATACCGACCACTTTCGCAAGGTGGTTGTATTACACCCGGAGGATCAACATTCTCACGCCGCCAAGGAGAATAATCTCGTGCAAAAGGACTCAAAGATCGTGAGATGTTTTGCCATCGATCCTTGCTACTATCTCGTTCTTCGAAACGTCCGCCATGATAAGGAGAATATGGTCTATTTCCTGAGTCTGTTATATTCGAGTCTTGTCTATATGGTGAAAATGGTCTTCCCTCTGATTTTCCTTGGCCATTGGAACAACGATTCAAAACGAAATCTTTATTTTGTTCAATCGATTGTCTATAGGGTGAAAAAGATCGTTGATAGTTCAGTTCGCTTTGTTGAACTTCGTTGTTCATTGGCGGGGAGAACGGCCTAGAAATTTCTTTTCTTCTGAGCACATATGGACTACAGGATACATAAGCTGCACCATTTTCGCTACTAGATCTTTGATGAAATGGTAGAAAACTGGAATTCTGTGTCTCTTTGGTGCTATTAGATTTTAAGAAAGATGGTATTTCACACTGTAGCCTTAAACGAGCAGTTTGTTTTAAGGACACATGATCAGTAACTCGTTGTTGACCCTCTGGAAACCTGAAACTGAATGATATAGTGTCAATTTTCTTCGTTTTTTACAATCTTTAATTCATCAATACACTGACTTCCGGAAGAATGACAAATGACACTATCATCCATGAAAATAGTATCATATATATATATTTCATCTTGAAATCTGTAAAAGAACTAAGTCTATATAAAGTTAATAAAAGTTAGAGCATTAATCAAATTCATGCAACACATATAAGGATGAAGGAATTTCCTATAAGGTTCCAAATTGTATGGACTTTATACGCTTTTCTCTATAGACCTGAAATTGGTGGATAACAGAAAAAAAAATAAGAGAGGAAAAAAAAGGAGGAAAAAAAAGAAAAGAAAGAATAAAAACAATATAAAAATGTAAATAATTAAAATCATAATAAAATCTTTTTCAACATATATTGACCGTGTACAGGTAAAATGATATGTGTGTCACATTAACAAAAAAATCGTAAATAATATAGAAATAAATAAAAAAGAATGCTTACCATGAGCGGGGGTTGAAGGGTGGGGTGTGTAACTGTCGCGTGCACAAACCAAACAACTCGAAATGAAAATTGGGCAGACATTTTGGGATTTTTGAGGTGTGTTTTTTTTAAGTTTTGGGGAATTTTTTGGTAATTTTTTGAGGAAAATGGAAGAAAGGGTAGGGACGAGAGAGCGGGGATGCTACGCTGCGCTGCCTCCCTCAAGCTCAACGCTGTAACACAATTTAACACGCACGCAAACTTTTAATCGTAACGTACGTCAAAGTTTTCAAATGTCGTTTGGTAAGACTCAAAGATGATAATCGTATATATACTATTATCCAATGAATACCCAATTTTGTAAACACAGCATCACTTTTGAAGCTGTTTAAATACCTACCCACTAACTTTTAATCAATGCTAAGACATGTTAACATTTAAAAAAAAAAACCATATTATATGCAATATGCAATACCCGGTTATTTTCAAACCAAACCAAATAATTACTATATTAGTTGGGAAACTCATGCCATATTTAAAAATATTTCAAATCTTTATACGTAGCCTGTCTTTCAGTAAAATATTATCACATTATGTAAAAGAAAAATATTTGCTTTTATGTTTAATACTATATCATTTAATCAATTTAAATACAATTTCTTAAACCATAATGCTAACCTTGGTTCCAGTTGTCGCATAACTCTACCAAACCACTGCTGGCAGCCAGCATTAGATAAAGAAGAATTTATATCCTCATCTTGTGGAACATCATACTTGCGGATGAAAGGATGTTCCATAAGTTTATGATATTTCGGTCGATGTTTATAGTTCTTTGTAAGGCAGCAACTGACAAAACTTCGAAAATCCTTAGAAAAAAATGCATCTGAAGGGAGGGACGGAGGATCATCCTGTACCACTCTGCTCAATACCTAGAAAGATTATTCATAGAAATATTAGAAAACAATGTTTATTAACGTTTACTTTACCCAATTAAGAAATGTTTCTTTTTTTAAATACCTCAAAATCAGTCTTGCAATCTCGGTAGGGAAATACACCAGTAGCCAATTCAACTAGAGTAATACCCAAACTCCATACATCAGCTCGTATATCGTAATCTGGTTTAGTTGGATCTGGGGGATCTATTCTTTCAGGCTACAAGAAATAAATGATCAAATATATTAAATAAAATAATTCATATAATTGTTAATTAATTGTAAAATAATAAATAATACTTACAGCCATATAAGCAGCACATCCTGCACTCCTAGTTTTTGCTTTACTATCAACTAATCGACCAGATATTCCAAAATCACATAATTTGACTCCTCCTGATTCATCAAGAAGAATATTACTAGGTTTTACATCTCTATGAATGACACCATGCTTTTCCTTCAGGTACGAAAGGGCTTTCACTGTCTACAAAATAAATAATCTAATTAATATAAAATGAATAAGATAATGTATATAATTACAATGATTTGATAAACTTACAGCTACTGTAACTTTTCCTAAGAAATCCTCCGGTATGGCCTGTCTACTTCTTTTTAATAATTTATCCAAACACGTTGCCATTAATTCCATACAAATCCAAACATCAGATTCGGTAATAAAACAACCCAAACATTGTACAATATATGGACAATCATGTGATTTCAATACGACGTCTAAATCCATTATAATTCTTTTATTTTCTTCTGCATTACCAGAACGTCTCATTTGTTTGACTGCAATGACTACTCCACTAGGTTTATGCCTCATCTTCACAACATGTCCACAAGTACCATTACCTAACTCTCCTAGATGTTCTAAGTCTTTCATTTCTGTTTGATATCTTTGACCATTTATATTTAGAATACCATTCATTTTCATGATTTCTTGCAACTTAGATTCAAATTCACTGTCGTGCTTCTTTGGAGGTGCCATGTGCGATACTGGTAAATCCAGCTGCCTTCTTAATCGAGTAGGAGTACCCATTTCACCAACTAGATTAACAGAAATAATAATAATCATCATCAAAATAAATTCTCTGGTTAAAGCAACATACAATCTTTACATATGATTGCATAACAATTAAAATTAAACAATTGTAACAATATTTGAATAAAGTCCAAAAGTAAAATTAAATGTTTACACTATGACATACACTTTCATCTTATTCATATATTTTAGAGACTACTGGTATTGAATTTTCAAGTACACGATTATGTGCAGGTAAAATCTAATTTTTTACAATTCGAATATTTAAAAATTATTATCAAGGATAAAGAAAATATCGAAATAATTGATTTTGAATAATGTTCATTGAAAATACATCAGTTTCAAAGTCAACAGAAACGCAATGGTCAACATAACCTCTGTAAGGAAAACAGCACGGAGATGGAACTTTTAAACGACAACAATTTTTTGGAAAAAAACGAAAGCTATTTTTATTCGAGTTATTAATTCTCGTTATAACTTACGTTGCTTTGGCCTGCGTACGGCAGGACTTGAAGCAGAACCAGACGATGACGGTTGCAGGCCAGTTCCTAAGCCAACCTCGCTGCTTTGCCTATCCCTATCTCTCGATTCATTTTCCGCTCGAAGGCGTTCTTGCAAATCTAATATTTTATTTTCTAGAGTACTGGACATCTTTAAGATTCCCTTACAAGCTTAATCTCACAGCGGTATATTATCTCGCACAAAATATTTGACAATTTTCACATCACTCGTCTGCCCTTTTTGGCAGCGAACATTGCGCCGCCGGTCGCACGCACTACGCATGCGCTACCTATCGATAATTCTTTTAACTACCATAAATGATGATTACATTCAAATATCAAAGAATATTTTTTAAATTTAATTTAATAATTAATTTAATTGATAAACATTTATTATATAATTTTTGTATTTTAATGAAAAAAAGAAAAATAAAACAATTAATTGTCTATTTAATGATATTACGAATATTAAAATTTGAAAAAAAATACGTAATCGTAAACAATCTTTATTTTTACATTAATCATGGAAGAAAAAAAGGTTTGGTTTATACAAAAGTCCAGTTCTTGTACAGTATAATTTTGTATTATACGAAGAAGCTTAGATTTATTTAAATGCTTCATTTTTTTTATCGGAGCGGAAATTTTCTTCTTTTGTTTGAATTATTCAGATGATCCGAAGATGCTTTTGACTTGAAAAATATTTTCTCCTCCATGACAAATTTATATTATAGTTAATCCTGCAAAACAGCAGCATTTGCAGCTATACTTGGATTGTTTACAACTTCTCCCAAACTTTCAAGCAATTCTTTTCTATAATCATCGAAGTCTCCATCAATTTCATTGATTTGTTGATTTTCTATTACGTATAAGCAACATTCGGTATCTCTGATAAGGCGTTCGTCGTGAGATACGATAATAACACCTCCTTTGTAATGATTTATTGCATCCGCAAGTGCGTCAATCGATTCGATATCTAAATTGTTCGTAGGTTCATCAAGAATGACAACGTCAGGTGCATTAAGACAAAGTTCAGCAAGAGCTACACGTGCTTTTTGTCCACCTGATAAATCTTTCATCTTAATTGTATGTGCGTGAGAACTAAGTCCAAAAGTACCAAGTTGTTTTCTAGCTTTTTCATATGGTAAATCAAATAAACGCATAAGATATTCCGATGGAGTTTCTTCAGCGGTAAGATGTTCTCCAGAATGTTGATCGAATCTTCCTATTCTCTATTAGAATAAAAAACAATTATGATATAATAATTAAATAATATAAATATATTTCATTTTAAACTTACCAATCGATGATTTCTTATAAGTTCTCCATTATGCGGAGTTAATTCTCCAAATAATAATTTTAAAAATGTTGATTTACCAACACCATTTGGACCTACTATAGCTACCCTAGAGCTTAGATCTATACCAAAATCAACATTAATAAATAATGGTTTTTGTCCTTCATATGAAAATGTAACATCTGAAATAAAATATTGTAGATTAAAGATATGTGATTAGAAATATGATTATTATTATTATTATATACATACTGTGAAGACCAAGAATTGGTGGTTGTAACGGTGGTGGATCGGGAAAACTAAATTTAACAATATATTCTCTGGGTCTTTGCAACAATTCTTGTGGACCAGTATCTTCCTCTTGCTTCTGCATTTTTGTTCTATTTTTTTCTTGTTTTCTAGTAAGGACTTCTTTTTGTTTCTTTTCAGCTTGTTTTTTACTTTGACCAGAAGCTTTAAGATCTTTAAGCCTTTTTTCTTGTTTTTCATAAGCTTTAATCATTTCTTTTCTTTTCTGTTCGTACATCTTTTTAAACATGCTATAATTTCCTTTGTAATAATATAATTTTTGTTGATCCAAATGGATTATATCTGTACACACATTGTCTAAGAAGCTTTGATCGTGGGATACAATAAGTAATGTTTTCTTCCATCCTTGTAAATAATTATCTAACCAGATCACAGCATTCAAATCTAAGTGATTTGTCGGTTCATCAAGTAACAATAAAGTAGGTTCTACAAACAATGCTCTTGCTAAAGAAACACGCATACGCCATCCACCAGAAAAATTTTTAGTCGCACGATCCTGCATGGAACGACTAAAACCTAAACCAGCTAAAATTCTTCTAGCACGTGGTTCTGCAGAATCAGCACCAATGGCTTTTAATTCTTCATATACCTTTAAAATATATATTATGTTATCTTCTAGTTAACGAACAATATAATAATAAATAAAATAAACTACTACCTCTTGTAATCGGTCTTGAACCGTATTATCTCCTTGTTCAATTAATTCTTCTAATTTTTTACATTCAACCTGTAACTCTTTACATTTTACATCAGCATTCAAGACAACCTCCACAGCTGGAGTATTATCAGCTATAACTTCTTGTTCGCAATATAATACATCTATATTAGGAGGAATTGCGAAAGCTCTTTTAGCAATATGTCGAAGCAAAGTAGTCTTTCCATGTCTGCCAAAATGTTCATAATATTCATAATATTTTATAAATGATGCACAAACTTAAAATTAAGTTTAATAATAACTTACATACCCATTTGGTCCTACTAAGCCATACCGTCTGCCTTGAGCTATTAGTAAACTGGCATTGGTAAATAATTCTTTACCCTTAGCAGCAATACTAAAATTTTCAACTTTGATATCTACCGCATTATCTAATTGTTGATTTCCACGTTGTTGCGTTTGACTTTGTGAAACAGTAAAATTTGATTCTAATTCACTATGACCCTGACCACCAGGTTTGGTTAACATTTCCACCGTTTTTTCATATTCTTGCTGCTTTTTTAATTTCTTCTTTTCCTTATGCGTTAACTTCTTACCCGTTTCCTCGATTTCCATGTTCGAAAGCTTTTTGCTAACATCAGAAACTTTATCGGCCTTTGACATACTGATCGACTTGAACGCACCGCGTGGATCTAACCTTACTTTTATGTCCTACTTTCTACACTAGATGCAATAAAGTTAGCAGAAGGACTATAGCGCCATCTGTCAACTAAAAATATATATCAGGATATTAGAAAAAAAAAAGAAGGAAGAATGCAATTATATTGAAATCTGATAAAAATGTTTTCTTTATAAATATATAAATAAATAAATAATACGAATTTAATTATTGCAATTATCGTTTTAACGAAATATTCCAATTTTTACTTGATTACCCTTAAATAGAAATTTAATTTAAACGTTTTTGGCAATAATTATTAAGTTTATTTTTAAAATTTACATAAAATTTATATATTGTAATAATGTGTGACTTTGTGGATGCAATAAAAAGACCACTTTTTATACCTCCACGTTTTGTAGCTTATTTAGAAAAGCATAAAATATACGAATTATTTCAGGTAATTCATTAATTTTAACTAAACAAAAAAATAGTTATATTCTATTGAAGTATTTTTTAGGAACTTGCTAAACAATTAATAATTGATCAACCAGAGGATCATATTCTTTATATGAAACAATGTTTAGAACATGCAGTAAGAAAACGAGATATTCCAAGAATTATTCTCCTAGCGCCACCAATTTTTGGTAAGAAATAATCTTAATAAAATCATAGAACATTGTATTAACTATTTAGCTTAATTATGTTTACAGACAAAATGGCTTTAGCACAAATTTTTCAAAAAGAATTAGGACTTCAACCGATCACTGTGAAAGATCTTCGTGAAAAAATGATTAATAAGGTAAAAAGTTAAGTTTGGTTATTGCTAAAAATTTCTCAATAGTATTTTAATTTAATTTAGAATGTATGTCTGTGTGACGAATCCGAAGATCTGGCAATGAATATGAAGAAATTATTAAAGTCTGGAACTTTACACAGTTCTGGTTGGATTTTAGTTGGTAAATAAAAAATTGTTAAGTTTAATTGAAAAATATTTATAAGATTAATTTTTTATTTCGCGTAGATGTGCCAAGAACAAAAAAAGAAGCTCGAGCTTTTCAACGACTTGGAATAATACCCACACATGTTTTTCAAATCATAATGTCGAATGATTTAGGTGAAATATCCGAAAAGAATTCTAATTGCCAGTTCGATAATAATAATATACACTCTATTAATATTAATAATGAAGAAATGCGAACGTATAAACAAAATCTTCGTGGACTACGAGATGCTTATGCTAATTTTTTAATTGTAAATTATATTACATTTTAAAAAACTAATGTGTGCAAATTTTATTATCAATATCTTCTATTTAGGAAATTGAAATTGGAATTAGATCGATCGAAGAATTAGGAAATGATTGCATAGCATTAACTAAAATAAAAAAACATTCTGGTGCACCTTCTCTTTTCCGAATTGCCCTAATCGGTTCTCGAGGTTCAGGATGTTATACTTTAGCCAAATATCTTGCGAAAAGATTCAATCTTATACATGGTATATTGTTTATAACAAAAATATTCTATAAATTTGACTTATAAATTATGTTTGACAAACTGTAATAATTTTGAAAAATAATAATTCATTTTATAGTGGATTTTAATTACATTATGAAACAAGCACGTCTTCAAGAAACACCTATGGGTGAAGTATTACGATTATTTGAACATAATTGCAACCAAAAACTTAAAGCAAGAATACAAGTAATTGATGTAAATAATTTTTAAATATATTTACAACAATTACAAAGTGATCTATTAATTTTCAGGTGTACTAGAAATACTTAAAAGATTTTCAAATTTTCTCTTCATTTTAGAACTACATAAAAAAGCCTGAATGTTTAAACAAAGGATGGGTTTTAACGAATTATCCAGTTACTGTAGAAGATTTTAAACTCTTGGATATGATTGATACACCCCCAAATAAGTATACTTGAACGATAATATTCAAATTGCTGAATAACACTTACAATTAGAAACTTTCAGAATAATCTTTGTCCAAGTGAGTGAAGAAATACGTAAAGAGAGACTTTTAAATCGTCGATACAATATTATTACTGGAAGTAAACATAATCTTATTACGTGCGATGATTATAAAAAGAAGTGTGATTGTGAATTAGGCGTACATCCTAACGATTATGTTAATGTCGTCACAGAACAAGTAAGAATAAATACAATGAGAAAATATATCTTCATATTTATAAACAATCGATACAAAGAATTTCTTTATAAATTTAGATACGTGAATACGACAATAATGTCGAAGAAATGTTGGAATATGCCGGAGAATCAGTTTTCATAATCGATGGAAATGCTGACGAACGATCAGTCAGAGAAAGTGTAGAGGGTTGTTTGATGCAATCAAAGATGTACAGTAAACTTAGAGAACCACAACCATTTTCAAAAATTGATCTACGTGATGTAGAATTTGATCCAGATGATGAACCTGATATAAGTATTTTTGATACAATAATGCCACCTGAATTTAAATATTCTTTTATATAAATTATATATTTTTTTTCTATCAATTATAATATTACAAAAGAAAGAGAGAAAATAAATTTACAAGAATATTTGCTTAAAAATTTGAAGTATGACGAATATAGCTTATAGAACTACCCTTTGATAATATCATCTGTACTATTCGTGTACACATTTTGAATACATATAGAAAGAGGGTGCAGAAAGAGAATACGTTCCTTGGTGATTCTACTACCCTGGCAAGCGAAGCATCCCGTTTTCGCAACGTCACTCAATATTATCTATATATGTATATAGGTAACCCTCGTAGTTGAAGGAAATCTGAACGATAGCCTGTTTTCCTGTGATCTTTTCTTTTGATTGAAAGACAAAAGTACTTTTAGAATTAGATTTGAATTTCTATTCCTATATAATATCTTTACTCTATCATTCTCGATGCAATATTATTTCTTTTTTCAAATAACTTAACGAATTATTTTCTCTCCAAATTATTCATTTCTACGTTTAGTAAATAATCTTCATTGTTATTCATACTTGATATTATTTTTCATTAATTAATCAAGATTAAGAGTATATAATTCTGAACATCTAGAAAATCATTTTATTGACAAATTCACACGTTAAATAATAACGTAATAATTATTACTTCTATACTGATAAATATTGGAACATACGTGAATTTTGAAAATATACGAATAAGAAACTGTAGCATTGAATCAATAATATACATGCAAAGGAATACAAAATAAAATAATGAAATAAAGTGTAGATTACGTCATATGCATTATCGTATTTAATTGCCTCAAACGCGAGGCATATTTCTAGATCAAGGACTCATAGAATCTTGCTGGTTATTTTACTGTAAAACCTGCTCAATAGGATGTAACCCTAACAAATGCGCCCTCCGAACACTAGGATCACCATTGTACAACTTGACATTTGACCGAATAGAATATGGTGTTCAAGTTACTGGGAGAACATCAAAACGAAGAATATCCTTACATAGATAATACTCGTCCTAACGAAAATTCAAGCTATCCTATATACACCTTGAAAGCAACACAATGTATGGTGTAGTACATAAGTGATGTGAATCAAACTCGAAACTAACACGTAGAGAATCAACAGAAGATGTCAGGATACTAGCACTATTCAGAAGGCTACTGCTTCCCTACACTATCATCTTACCACTATATCATTTCTAATGCATATCGCTATAAATTACATACTGTGCTTACTGATACTTAGAAATATAACATAACTTTTGATACATAAGTTTAGAAATATTTGAATAATATCAAAAAGCTAACGATTATTAATTGGATTACAGGAGTGACAATTAGCGTATAAAACGTATTAATTAATAGATTCGTTATAAGCTTTTCAACAGTACACTATACTAAAGTATGTATGTGAGATTTCTAAAGTTATCAAAGGACTTCAAAAGCCATAGCAAACGTAGATACCAGGATATAATAAGGCGAATAGATCGATGGTGAAAACGTATCCTTGGTCCTTGATATGCATTCTACTAACGCTGTGCGCCTATCACCAACAAATGTCACGAGTATGCGTTTCCACGAGACATATCCTTTATAATTATCATATAAATAAAAAAACAGATTTTTTTTCACGCGTATCCCCGAAACCATTAGGCTTGTATGAATTACCAACAACTCTTTCGTTTTAAGTAATTAGAACGAATACGTTACATCGAATCGATCGTATAAAATCGCAGTTATAAACAAAAAAAAAAAGAAAAAATATAATTAACGTGTTGCTAAACATTGAATTTTCTATAACCTCACATTTTATTGACGTTCTAGAATGAATTTATAGCTCAGAAATATTCGCAGTATCAGGATATTATAAGGAAGAATATTTTTTAACGTCGTAGAGAAGTAAAAACACCCTTGTCGCATGGAAAATATTCTCTAGATCAGGACCTCATGCAGGAAAAATCTTTCCCTTGTGACATACCACATCTTTCCACACGATTATCTTGATTTCCTTCGTATCCTTCCCTTTCATGCTCGTCAATGTCCTGTCATTCGTCAAGAGAGTGGCGCCAGAAGCATTTGCAACACCAGGCTGCTATAACTCAGAAACGTAACCTGAAGGATCTCTCCTCAGCTTTGTATCCTTCATACTCTGAAAACACCCTTGGCGTTTTCGTAACGACAGGGTAGCAGGACTTCCAGATGATTTATGGTTACTGCTGGTACACGCCTGAAATGTATTCAATCCTGTCACTCTTAGAACGACCGAGGTGTCTCTGGTATTTTTCGTTAAAATAAAGATTAAGATATTTTACTTGGAAGATTAGACGTGAAAATAAAACAAAAATAAATAAACAATCGTTAGAAAAGTGAATGGAAAAGAAATAAGAAAAAGGATGTTTCAATCCCAGATGGAAACCTTGAATAATTCTATGTACATTGATTGTTATATTCTGACGATATTTCTCAACGTATTCTAAGTTATTTAAAATGCCGATTACTTCAAGAAAAAGGTTTTATTTTATTGTATTGCACACTATCGACATTATTGCTTGCGTCTTCTGTACATCTTAATTCTAGTCGTGGATCACAGGCGATCATAAAGTAGAGCATATATCCTCCCGAAAAAAATTCCCGATATTCGTTTGGCTAACGGAAGGTTTGATTGGTAGTCGTGCGTATACTGCAACAACATGTATGCAAAGCCAGTTATTTTTCTTTTTCCTTGTCGTTCAATACTCCATTTCATTTTCCTATACAACCAAGCTTCCAGGTATCTATCTCAATATCCCCTTATAGAAAATAAAGATTTACTTTCTATATATTCTGCACACAGAATATTTGCATGTTTTTAAATATTTAATTACACACTCCATGCATACTTAATAATTTAAAGATGTTAATGATTTAATATTTTTTTTGATTATAATTAAATATCTTTCTTTGTATCAATAATAATAAAAGCAATATTTTTATCTCTCAAATCCAATTAATTAAATTTAAAATATATAAACTTAAAATAAATTAATTAACGACTAATTGTAAGTAATAACATGATTTACCATATATCGAGCTTCAAAGAACAAATTTGATTTTTGTTCAAGCATCAAATGGAAGAAATCCTATCTTCGTTATTTATCGAGTTCATGTATGAATACAGTATATGAAATTTGTACAAATTGTCTTAGAGATAGAATCTGAAACGAGAATATATTTTAATTTGTTTTTCCTTACTTGAGAATAATTCTATTACTTCAACTACGTGCTAGAACAATGAAAAAGTTCCAAATATATGTGTATTACACATAGATATTAGACAATACGTCATAACTTGCAGTAGTGAGTGGTAAGAGAGATGCCGGAACGTCTTTCACGCGCTTAGGGTATCGTTTGCATTATTGCTTGGAGAAACAATGCTTCCATGTCGACGTTACTGCATCCTTGCCTCTTAAAACCCGGCAGCCTCTGGGCGTTTAAGTCCTCAAACCGTTCTAATTGAGGTTCCTCCTCGTTACCGCGAAAGAGTTACCGGAAACAATGGCTGGAACAATGAGAAGACAATTGCACGTAGCGTACAACTTCGCTAACAAAAGGGCGAACCCGTCTTTCCCTTCCTTTCCTCTTACCTATCTCTTTCTCTCCCTTCCACCTCGTTTCTCTCACTTTATTTCCTTCTCGATTTTTTCGCTTTCATTGTTATGCCGACACTGTAGAGTAAACTAGGGGTCGTGAAAATGAAACACAACAAGCCAACCGGATGCAAAAGAATAGTGCTCCTGGATAGAAGAGTAGTAGTAATAATATTACTAGCAGAGGTAATACTAGTAGTTCTTATGTAGTAACAATTTCCAGTAGTTAATATCAACGCTCGACTCGACAGATTTATATTCGCGTGTTTTACTATTGATATATTACTGTAAAATGAATCGTAGTATTTATTCATTTCAATGGACGTTTTGTGTTTCATGAAATAAGGAGGGAAGGAATAATTAATACGGCACAGAAAAATACCAAATCTTGAAACGATGTGTTGGTAGGTGGTTGGATAGACTCGCGTTAAAATCGATGCCAAGTAGAGAATCGGGCGCGATGGAATTGCTTAAAAGGGAAAACGTAGCTCATCAAAGGAGCTAGTACTTAATTCTGCGAAAAGGGCCGAAAGAATGGAGAGAAAAATGGAAAAATCGCGGCCGTCTATCCGTCGAGGTCGAATGCTTCGTCGGTGAACGAAAAAGAAAAAAGAAAGAGAGAAAGAGGAAAGGAATAACAAAAAGAAAAGAAAAAAGGAAAGAGAGAGAGAGAGAGAAAAGAAGAAGAAGAAAATATAGCCGAAGCTGTCTCAGCTGAGGCAGTACCCGCGTCTCATTTTGCTCGAGTGCCCTCGCGAACAGGGAAACATTTCAATTAATTACTGCGTAATTAAAATATGAAAAAGTAGTCATTATCCCGCGTTTCCGCGTCGGTTATCCAACAACTTTGGCTTTCAACTCTCTCCACTCATATCGTCCATTCGAAAGAATCGTTCCTCCTTCCTCTCCTTCGCTGTAGTTTTCCGTATCCTCGCAACAGCCCATCTCCGTCCCTCCCCTCTCTTCCTTTTTCTCTCTCTCTGTAGTCGCGATTTCCACCTTTCGCCGTCTTTCTCTTCGTTCTCCATATCAACCCTCGTTTTTCATTTCTCTCTGACACAGATAATACGAATAGGATGCGCGCGTGTCTGTGCAACGCGAGAGTCGCACCCTCGTCAGAGGCATTAATTATGCACGTGTCAGGTAATTCCGGAGTATCTGCCAGTCGGTAAGCAGCGTAGACGGGCGTCATGTGTACGCGGATGCAGAAATAAACATTTTCAGGTGCGTCCTCTCTCACACGCTTGACCCGTCACCGGCATCGCGTTGATTTTTTTCAGAACTTCGTTCTGAGAACGAATGAACGAACGAACGAGCGAACAGCTATATCTTTTCTACAGATATTATTCACCTATCCATGTTGATTTTACGTTCCTAAAACATATGTATAAATAATATTATTAATTTACAATATTACGAAAGTAAATATCTCTTAACGAAGTAAATTCATTAATATGTCGTTATTTGTAAAGAAGATGATCGTTCATGGATGTTGTGGTAACGATAACGAAGCTATCGTCGACTGATTGTGAGAAACAAGCTCGAGTATGATATTCTATCGACGCGTCTATTCGAGTGTCTATCGACGAGAAGGTGAATCTTAATTCATCGTGTTTAGCTGATTCGGAGGAAAGCGACGCTCGAGGGGATCGTTCCTTCGTGCCTCCATCTATCAACGGAGTATAGACCGGATGGTGGCACGAAATCCTCCCCGCCCCACTTCTCCTTCAAACCGCACGTCGCTAACTTTTCAATCTCGGTCGAATAATTCGTCGGAAAGCCCCGCGGTTACCTCGGCAACGATCTGGCCTCTCATTGGCCGTTTCACATCTTCGTTTTCCTCCCTCTATCTCCTCTTTCTCTCTCAAACCTCCCTCCAACTTTCCATCCCTCCAGCAGCAGGAGCGGTAGTAGCGGAGTTCCCCTTTCAGCTTACCTAGCCTTTACTCTTCGTATTCTCCTTACCACGAAAGCCACCCCTCCCTCCTCCGCGCACTTAGCCCCGTGGTTAACTTCAATGAGCGGATAACAAGCCACCCCTCAACTACGGCTTGTAATATTCACTCGTATAAATGGACTCGCGGCTTTGTCAAATCAACTGTCGTTTGTAAACAAGTAATCCTCTCGACTTTGGCGACGTTGCGCTACGACACATCCCTCATCTTTACTTTCCTGGGACGATTATCCCTCTTGAACCTAGCATCTTTGATCAACCTTGAAAACGAAAGAGGAACTTTCGTATATTTCGTCATCGGTGTTAAAATTTTCATGTCTTATAAAATCCGTTTATGTTGTAAAACAATCCAATTCTTTTGGCGTATGTAATAAAACTTGACAATTGGACGAATGATGATGGATCTATTAATGGATTTCTACTAATTCCATCAAAACGCTTCACTCGTTCGGTCCACTGCGGTGCAAGAAATTTTCATTTAATTCTATAACAAAAATGCGACCGTTCTCGTGAAATCTCGTTAACGAGAATACAAGAGCCCTCCACTTATCGAGGGACTCTACTCCATCTCGTAGTGTCCCGAGCATTACCATAACATAAACGAGCCAATCAAGCAGCTTTGTGACAGCAATCGTCCCTTGATTACCCAACTCTTAGATCTAAACCAGGGATATGATTATATCGGATAATCGTTTCCCCTCTAGAGATGCCAATGATAACGCGTGTTAGTTTTATCTGTCATATTTATTCTGTTAAAATAATATTAATCATTAGTTAACTCAATCGAGATAATTACTGTCATATTGAAATAGTTACTTCATCGTGATAATTGTATAACGTACATACCTGAAAAGGTGAAAGAGATACTTTCTTAAATACATTTTTTTAAAGTGATCCAAGAAAATCTATAAGACTGTTATCACGTAGAAATATTTTGTAGAACGATAAGCGATGATCAAAATCCAACGAAATGGCAGCATTTGCCATGGAAACACGCGTGTTGAAACTCAAAAGTGGTCATGGGGGTAAGAGGGTACCCCGTACGAAGTCCTGAAGAGTCCACAGTTATAGGAGACGAACGAACAGGGCCGCCTTTCACTCGTAATTGGAACCGCGGGAGTCTGACCAACGTCCGTGTTCAAGCACTCTTTTTCCCATAACCACCATCCTTCGAGAGTGTCTCCGCTTCCCCGTAAAGAAAGGAGCACAATAGGCAACATACTTAGTCGATTCGTTCGAAGTGTGTCTCAGATATTTTCTTGTTTAACTTTCAATACCACAAAAAATACTCGTTCGTGTAGAAATGCATAATCTTTTCAACAAGAAGTCAATGATACTTTTACGACGTCAAAGTTTTTCCTTATTTTTTTTTTTTTTTCTAATCACCATATTAGAAGAACAAGTTGTCAACGCACGTACTATAAAAGAAAAAAAGAACACTGTGTGTGTCAATTGTGACTCGCTAGACTGCATTCATTCAGTGAATTCGTACTCTTTTAAACATAAATTTACGGGATAGTAATTATTTTCTTTTCCAAAGCTAGAAAATAATAATAATAATAATAATAATAATAATAATAATGATAAAAATAAAAAAAGGAAAGAAAAACCCCTATCCTTTGACGTCTTAAGGACGTTACATCGCGTTGTTAGCCGGAGACATTGGAATAAGCAAAGGATAAAAGAGTGCCGTTCATAAACGTGGTAAAACAGTGAAAAGAAAAAAAAAATTCAAATGAATGACGGTATATAGAAGAAGAAGAAGGGCGTGTATATGCGTCTTTTTTCTCACTTAATCCGTGGGATTTGTAGAAATGGACTGCACGAGGAACATGTCAAACATTTTTCCTTGCTCATCATTTTTCAAGGAGCATTCTACAACTCGGATAATATTGCATTGGTTTGTAAATATGAAAACTTGCAGCACGGTATCATCAAAAATTATCTGTAAGAAAAAAATCGTTAGTATTATTATTAACAAATAATAATCTTTATACAATATGTAAAATAAACAATATTATGACATAGAAAAATTAGAGACAATGTTTACGAGGAAAAATTTGACGAACCTCTTGAGTCACGAAAGAAAAATGCAAGTTGAAAAACGTGCACATGCATATTTAGAGACCGGAGGGTCCTGTTCGTTCATTACTACTATATACAACACCGTACATTACAATCATCGACAAAATATTCGTGTATTCGCAGTTATATTCATACGCACGGTCGCACGTCAATGGATTTTATATTTGCTGTGATTGTTAACGGCTTCGAAGTTCTTTGCCTCGCGATTTGATCCCTGCTCTCTGCCCATCACTGTTCTAAATCGTTCCACCGTGATCCTCTTCACAGTCTTTTATCCGTATTTACCAATTCGTGGCAACGATCGCCACGACCGGAGCTATTATTATTGAATCATCGATTTTTACAAATCCTATTGGAAGAGAGAGGGCTATCACTTTTTATAATATATAATACAAAATAAAACTATACAATATCATCAACTATCATATACTGCAATACTATAAAAAATACTAAATAGAGATGTATATATATATATATATATATATATATATAATAAATGATTGTTTATCTGTCGTTATAAAATAAAACATAATAATTAAAAATTTATAACTATGAAATATTATAATATTATACAAAATTAATATAAATACATAGATATAGAAAAGGTTTTTATAAAATGTCTCTATCATGATTTGATAAAATGATAGAAAACAAAAATTCTTTTAATTTTAAAATGAAAAAATAATGTATAATCTTATTTTTATTATTTGTTTTATAAAAAACTCTATTATAAAAATGATATATAATAAGAAAAAGTGTCTATAGTATTTATACTTACAACATTTTTATATTTGAATCTGTAGGTGTTATACTAAAATACCGCTAGATGTCGCTAAAGTAGTACGTTACGTTATACGTATAGAAGCTTTCTCGCAAGTACTTTTTGTTGGCTCGGTTTGTATATATTCCTTCCTTCGATTCACCCTGATGTACTTGCTTCGGCAGTACATATACTAAAATTGGAACGATACAGAGAAGATTAGCATGGCCCCTGCGCAAGGATGACACGCAAAATCGTGAAGCGTTCCACATTTTTTTGCAATTGTAAATTAAATTCTTAACAAAATTCCTCTTCTTATTTTTTTCTCTTTTTACAATGGCGAATGTCTGAAAAACATTATTTTAATATTTTAAATTTTGTTTAATTTGTGGTACGAATGTTAAATGTCCTCATTTATGAAGAGAATATCATCAATTTTATTAGAATAGAAATGAAGAAAATTATCGATAATGATCATCCGAAAGAAAGGACGGTGATTCGAAACCAATTCTGACAAAACAAACCCTCTTTTCTTACTTCCATCAATTTAGCTTCGTCCGGATCACGACAGATGCGATAATAAAACGAGCTTCACATACACGAATCATCCCCTTGTAAAACATCCAATTTAAGGGTGCAATACAGTATATTAGATGGTATTAGGTGACCTGATTCAATCAAGGTATACATTGGTATTGGTTCTGTAAATACAAAATTGACAAGAAATTGACTATCTTTTAATCATTTGATAGAAACATCATTATTGATTATTCATTTGAATAAAAATAATTGAACAAACTGTAATCATTTTTGTTAATTATTTTAAATACATAGTAGAATGACGATAAACGATATGGCTTCTCAACGATGACAGAGATACCCTTTGTTTTTACATTTTCGAAGTTGCTCAACTCTCTCACTCGTTCTTATCTCATCTTCTATCACTCATTTATTCCCCTCTTTTCAGTGTTCTCGGCGCCCTTTTCTGCGCCCGGTAAGAAGACGCCTAGCCGCTTTGCCGCCCCTTGAATTAATCTCTTGCATACGTTAATCCTAATGAATTCAGAAAGGCGTCCCGATTCATCGGCATTCACTGCTCAATATCGTAAAGAAAACTTTACAGGTGTCGATATGGTATAACGATGCTGTATAAAGAATAATTTAAATAAATACATTTTAAAGTAAGAATCTTGTTGTAGAAAAGAAGATCATTTTCAAGTGTAGTAGTGGAGTCAATTTTTTAATAAAGAAACGTACACACACGCGGTATGTAACAATAAAGTAGAATATTGTTAAATAATCGATACGATTGAGATAAATCAATGTAAGAGTGTATTACATAAGCATTTGTACACGCCATTGACTTTATCGTCATATTTCTATATTTTATAGTTCACGGTGAATGCAATTTCGTAAAATATAAAATATATCTACTTAGGAGAACAAATCTATGTATAAGATATATTCTATGTGTAGGTGCTTACAAAAGCTAAGTAGTGTAGTGCAGTGAATAGACTAACAGGGTGCTGTTGAGCTCAGGGCCACGAGAGAAATAGTGGAAGCATGAAGGCGGGTTGAGAAAGTAGAGGCAGTTTGAGGATTTGCGAGTATATGCATCATGCATATTTACGCTCACAAACTACCCCTCCAAAGGGCACGGGGAGTGAGAAGATACGGTGGAAAACTCCAAACAGCTAGGAATGTATTTATGTAAATATGGTGCACAACAATTTTTCCTATATCTGGCATACCTAACGTTATTCTTTCTTGAGATCGATGGATATAAATCGACTTGGTTATGATATCATAACAATTTGAGTTACTCTACAAATGTTAAATATTATTTGAATAATCTATACGGTTACTTAATAGATATATTCAATAAAATGACATTTTTATGATTGATAATAATATAAATAATTTAAGTTAATATTTAATTAAATTCGATTATGAAAAACTTGATCCCCATGAACTTTTATTCAATCAAGGTAGTAATGGATCTTTGCTTCCCGTCGATCGTACCGATTTCTTCCTCACGTAATGACTATCCCTTTAAAATTGAAAGGGTTGTGGGACGATGAATAGAAAAAAAATCAGAAGATATAAGTTTGAAATTGAGATAGAAAACAAGACTGCATCATAATAAAGCTACAGAAACGTTTCACATCCAATTTGCTCCTCTCCTTCTACGGTAATCGCTTGCCAATTACTTCCTCCCCTATCAACCCACCTCCGTTAGCCGACGCGGCTCTACATTTGGTAGTCCTTACCTTACCAACTCGTGCGAGCCCTATTATATATCTTGTGTTCTCGTCTGGATGCATACAAAAGGAAAGCGAGGCGATAGGTATAGAAGGAAGTGAAAGATCGTGGAGGGAGAGAACCAACCTTCTCTCGCGCAGGGTGCGTTTATCCGCCCAATAGCATCTCGCGGAGGAGACTTTTCATCCCTCACTCGTCCGTACCACCGACCAATAGCAGAAGCCCGTGGCAACCGTTTTCGAACGGGAATACGCGGGGAACGAGGATGGCGCCTCCACCCCCAAAATGGCTGCGAAATCGCGCGGGCATTAGGCTACCCGTTCAAAATAAACGGGCGGATTAATTCGAAGGGGTGGCAGGGCTTGGAAAAGATATAGTTGGGGAGACGATGAATGTTGTACTGTAGTACTACCCCTCACCCTCATATCCAAACTTCATCGAGTAAGCCTCCGCCTCCTACAACGACTCGCCTTCACCCGCAACGTGGGTTACGACGACGAAGACGACAAGAATGTCTAGGACGATGACGACAGTGGAACGTCGGCCAGATACATCCGGTCATCCCCGTGCTCGCGGTCGACGCAGAACGATGTCGAGCGTCTGTATAATAGCATGAAAGTTCTTGGCTCCTTAGATTAATCGGTGATAACGCAATATACGTGAAATAAATCATTCATCTTACACTCGAGTTAGTGATATTGTTTAGTTTTTATAACTGGTTTGCGTCGATTTATCAGTGGCAATGATGCAAGAACACAAGTCTTTTTTGATAAGAGATCTTTTGGGCGACGTTCTAGCGGATCGAGTTAAAGGTAGGTGATCTAAACAATTATTACAATATGCCTTGTTAATCGTGACAATGTCGATAAAGTATAAAAGTTATTATAGTTTGATAGAAGATTTTGTTCAACTTACTTATTGACTTCTCGAATGATCGAAGAAGACTTATTGTTAGTAAAAAACTTGACGATCGATGAATTTTGATAGATTATTAGTGTTTTATATACGAAACTGGAGTTAGTCGCGTGTGCTACCGTCGGGATTCTCGTTAAAAGATACCCCCTGAGGACTCTTCTATTATTTCTATCCACTATTCGGGGTCCGAAGTACGACAACCCACCCTACAGAGTGTCGTTCCATTAAGGGTGATCCTACAGATGGTTTTAGGTGCGAAGTGACTCGTTAGGCTTCGTTAGTCCACAAATTTTATCCGTCGCTTACCCCGTCCCGCTGTGTTTCCCAGTTTTATTGGTCAATCGTGGCATGACACCGCAGGATCTTGATTGAGATCGTTTACCATGAACTAGGACCAATAGTAAATCGATTTCAATTCTTTCTTCATTACCTCAATAATAGGCTTTCATAGTAAAGTCGAATCTGTTGAATTAATGAGACAAATGTTCGTACAAATTGTACATCAACTAACTCATCTATCGATTAAAGTTGACAAGGCAATGTTTCTTGACATTGATATTTACAGAAGAATCCGAAGATGATTCGGCCGTTCATTCGGATTCCGAAGATACGATTGACCCTGGCAGTAGTCCTTGCACTCGACTAGGAAGTCCACCACCTGTTCTATCGCCTCCACCAGGCCCGGCTATGTCCGGTAAATCTTGCGGAACTCCTAGTGGTCCACCGAGTGGAAGAAAACCACGAAGAAGACGAACAGCATTTACACATGCCCAACTTGCTTACCTGGAAAGAAAATTTCGTTGTCAAAAATATTTAAGTGTAGCGGATCGTAGTGACGTAGCGGATGCATTGTCTCTGTCAGAAACTCAAGTGAAGACTTGGTATCAAAATAGAAGGTCAGCGAGACTACGTGTAATCTTTATGAATATATTTTTTTATAAGGATTTATATTTTTAAACCTTTACTACTTGATTGTTACAGAACGAAATGGAAGAGACAGAATCAATTACGACTTGAACAACTTCGTCATCAAGCAACAGTAGAAAAAGAACTCCTTGTAAGAGGCGTGGGTCTTCATCATGGTAGCATAGATGCCTATTGCCCATCTTACAATGCACAAACACAAGTGACGAACCATGCACCTCCACCACCACCTCCGCCAGCTCCATCCACAGCATCCACGGCAGCGTTCCTTTCGACGGCTGCTGCACTCTTTCGAAATGTCACATACGTACACGGCTGTCCACTCTAACGCGTGCGATATCATGATTTAAATATCATTCCAATTTATCAAATAGCTCCTGCCTAACTCAAACAATCCTACGAGCAACAGATAAATTTTGTGTGGAAGTAAAAACGGCGAGTCAAAATGATTCCACTCGATGTTTTCTTTTGTTATCATTTATTGCTGCAACAAACAGAGTGATATGACTTTAGTTATAAATTTTTAATCGATTATATTTTTATTAACATGTTCCAAAAATTCTATTCTTTATTTCACACGTGAAATATTATTTTAGACATACGCATGCAGTATTTTAATATATATATTTTTTTTTTGAAGTTATCAACAACGTGTGCTATAAATTTGTAATTGATTATTTAATTTTTGTATTACCTAAAGTTTTTTCTCGTATTTGTTTTTGTTGCAAACGGGACAGTTGATTGACAATGTAAATATGTAATTATTAAATAGATCGGCAAAACCGTATTCGGTTGTTTCTTGCTAATGATCCTTATCTTGATAGGTAAACGAATATTTTACAATTAACAATCAGCAAGCAGTGCCACAGTAAAATCTTTATTGTGGAAATTGCGATAAATTACCACTCGACAATGAGGATCCAATAATTCTCTGAAAAGAACGTCCGATCAATGAGAATAACGATTAGAAGATATAATGATATTAATACGTAGCTGTTTCATCGTACTTAAATGATCACTTTGAAAGATGAAAAGGGATATTTATTACCGAATGTGCAATGCTCGACTAATGTGCGTATTTTTCGTGTTTTAAACAGCAAACTTTATAATTTAGTGATTTAATCGACGTTCACTATCGATATGTAACTTTAACATCTTTCACTAGTTGACAATTTTGTGTAAGATGAGGAGTTCTTGTAGATAAATAAATTATTATGAAATAACATATAAAAATGTTATTATTTAAATTTGATATATAAAATCCTACAATATTAATCCATGAAATAATTCTCATCCCCTATATTTTTCGTTTAAAACGTAAAAATCAAATTAATTTTAAAGTTGAAATATTAAAAATATTCTTTTATCTAAATATATCATTAGAATGTATTTATATTGTGTAGTATACTCTCGATTACCTCTTTTCATTTGAAAAATGAGATACTATAGTAAGCTAATTCATAGATGACAATGGGCACGTGTCCAAAACGCGCGACTCCTGCCCCGTTCGAAGTAATTGGTTGAAACCGATACAAGTTGAGTGAGTTGAGGCCACTTAGAAAAAGGAATTGACTTACGAGTTTAATTGAATGGAATCGACGAGAGAATATACACCAGTTGACGATAGAACAACTAGTGTCTTTCCTCGATATTTCGTGTTGGATCGATTGTGTTAATTAGGGCGAAAACAAGTAGGGAGAAAATGAAAACCTTCGTACGAATAAATACTTTATCAGGCATCATGTATAATACATTCCGGATAACGATATCGTTAATGATTTCTTTCTCATATTAAAAGAAATAAAGAAAAATACATATCAATTTCATTACGCGAACTTTCGTATATTTCGACATAAGATAAGCGAAGAGAGGAATCGTAGAAAGGAAGAAGATACTCTTTTCGGGTTTATTCAGAATGGAATAAACCGTGGTACTCTCTTTCTTTATTTATTTCTTTTTCTTTATCTCTTTCTTTTCTTACATTCAAAGTCCTCGAATTATAGGAAAAGCAGATTCATTTCACCGAGCGTGAAATCGCTCGAACGAAGGAAAAATTCTTCCATTCTTCTTCAACCTGAACCCTCTTTTTTTTCTTTTCTTTTTTTTTTTTTTTTTTGTTAAGACTCACCGCAGCATAGTTGAAACGAAATCTCAACGATATTCCTACGTAATCTCTTACGCGTAATTACTTCTACATAATCATTCGGTACAGTATTCACAATGATATACAACAGCATTCGCTATTCAGTCGGTTACTGTTCTTCTTCGACCTTTACTTACTACATTCGTTTCTTCCATTTTCTCTCAAATGTTAACCATTAAACCAACGAAATAATTAAAACGTGCTAGCGATATAATTAGAACGTTTTATCTCTACGAACAAATTTAAATTCATTAGACTGTTTCTAAATATAATCGCGTTAATTTAGATTCTACTAGCTAGCTACTCCTACTTCATTTTACGTATTCCTATCAAGTATAGATATAAAATATATCGTTAAATGTCATTTAACAAAAATAAATTTTACTTATATCTTAACCCATTTGCATCATTAACGAATATGTGATTATCAGAACGCCTATAGCCAATAATATTCAAATCAATTTTTAAAATATGATATTTTAATATATGCAGTATTGATGACAATAATAAATTAAATAGATACATTTTTTATTTTGTCATAAAATGCAAATGAGTTAATTAATTAATCGGATTAAATTCAAGACAAAATATATGAGTTAACTTTTGCTAATAAGCTAGGGATGATATTAATAGCAAAGTTGTATTTGTTACAGGGTGTCTCTCATAACTTTGTTCAGTGGTGATGCAGTCTCGAGATCAAGGACGAAAAGTTGACCCGAGGATCATTCACGAAGGGATAGAAGGAATCGAAAGTTGAAGTAGACAAGTGGTGTTGCGTGTGCCCAGCCACGTGCGTATTATACTCCAGCGAATATCCGTACACACGCGCGTGCATACGCGCTTGCAGACGCTCGTGCATACGTGCGTAAGTCCTGTTGGCACTTGGGCACGCGCTTCGTATTCCTCATCGTCTTCTCCTCTCCTTAGGCTTAGGATGTGCCTTCGTTCTGCGGCATCGTTAAATACTTCATGGGGGTTCCGAACCGTACGTGCGCAAACATACGCCTTGAATTTACATTTGTTCTTCGGGTGTAAAGGATAAAAACAACAGCTTGATTCGCCGTTTCCCATGCCGAAGACAATTACGTAGAGTATTATCCAAAAGATAAGAGAGCAAACGTTCTTTGATAAAGAATATCTTTTCTGTACTTGAATGTATAATATTCCATAGATAATGTTTATGTTTCTAAATAGTAAAAACAATAATTAAAAATAATCAAAATATGGAGATGAAATCGAGTCAGGTTTATATTAAAAAGGATTGACGAAGAAAATGGTAGAAAGAGTTCTTTAGAAAGGGAAAAAAAAAGATGGGAAAGTGGAAAAGAGGAAAGAAGAAAAAGCGGAGAAGTAATTGCTGGAGAAACAGCGAGAGGGAGAAAATGTCTGGTTGGTCGAGCGATAGGAAAAAGGGATCGCGTCGTCGGTAGGGGCGGAAGGCAAAAGGCAGAAGTAAAAGGGGGTCGGTGGTACGGGATAGCGGGGCGTAGAAGAAGAAGAAGGGCGCTCGAGCTGGCGCTTGAGCCGGTGTTTGCTTTTCTCTCTCTATCTCTCTAACTTTATTTCTATCCCTGTTTCTCTCTTCCTCTATCTCTTTCGGGGGATGGGGTAAAGGCAGGGGGTGAGCGGGCAGAGGTGAGGGCAACGAAGCTCCGACTTTTTAATTGGAATATATTCAGAAAACGGAACGCCTTTTCATCGCGAGCTCGATGCACTGAATACGGTCTGAATCAACGCGGAATCAAGCTCGCTCCCACCAACGATCGCTCAACCTCCGCGAACCGGGCCGTATTTCTGCATTTATACGTAACAGCTCCGCAGTGAACGGATAAAGCCGCCCTCTCACCAGCCCCCTCCCCCTGCCACCCCCGATGCAGACTTTTTTCCTTGAATCACGTACTCTACATACTTACTTTTCTCTATTTCCTTCGCAGTATCCACTCATCTCCACTGTCCCTTTCCCTACGTCTTTCTTCCGGAAGAAACGCTATGTTGATTTTTCCATGATGACGACGATGCTATTTTCATTTGTTCCTCTCATTATTCTCTGTTCAATCATAACTGAACATCGATGTAACTTTTATCCAAAAGAATTGAAAACGTCCACGACAATGAGAAAATGTTTCTCTTGAAAAAAAGAAAAAACAGTCGGTGGTCTTTGCTTAATGGGCTGTTTGCTTGCAAATTGCAGTATTGCTAAAGGGCAACAAACAATTCACAACTCGTTTTAAATTCCACATTTCAATTTCAAGAGAAAGAGAACGAGCCCTTTGGCATACGTTACATTTACATAATTGTCTCTTATTCCCTTTCCTTTCTCCCTTCCAAGTTGTCTTTTTTTTTTCTTACTATTATAAACATCTTTTAAGATTTGAGACTTATTTCCTTAGAATATGTTGACACACGATTAATTTTATAATACATATCAATAGAATTCATTTCAATAATTAATAATAACAGAATTATTATTTAGAAATACAAACCCACAAAATATGGAGTGCTTGAATGCATTAGTGTTATTATATCCATTATTATAAAAAAATAAAATAAAATCCCTTGAGAATGCAAAAAAAATCTGCCTCGGGTGAGGATCGAACTCACGACCTTAAGATTATGAGACTTACGCGCTGCTTTTTTTTTTTTTTTTTGAAAAAGTTTATTTGCTTTATTAAAAAATACAATCTTATTTACAGGTTTAACACTTATAACTAGGCAGCAAATAATACTTAAAAACCGGCCTTTAATATCACATGTTTTCATTCCTTAATGTTTGTCTCCACGCTTGGAGCTACTTACATTGATGCTATCTCTATCTGTACTAATATTGCAGAATTTTATCACTAAGGCATTCGCTTTGGTTAGGGTTTAACTAATGTATAAATTAATTCTATAGTTGAAACTTATACTAGTGATGAAAAAGTAGTATAACAAAAGAAAAAACATCACTTTGTCTCTGGTAATGTTATAAATAGAGAAAAAAAAAAAGAAAAAAAGGTAAAAAAAAAGTACATTATGTATTATGTCGTATCAAAGTATATCATGTGTTAAGTCTTATCTTCTCCATATTAGCCTATGTAATACTGATATGTTTCGTTATWGTCTTTTCAGTCTTATATTTCATACCAGCCCCTCTTTCTTCTGTCTATGAGTTCTTTTCYATGAGCTGGTTCTCCCCTTAGCCACCAGTACTTGTTACTTAGCCTTCTGAAGTCCATTTTGTCGCAATCTGGGATTGTCATTGAGTAGACCCAGTCCGTGTTCGGCGACAAGATGTCTTCTGGCCTTAACTCAATTTTCTTGTTGGCTTGGTGTCGGCGCCAATGGTATATGATCGGCCTGTTATTGGCGTCTTGGATCACTCCAATTTTATCGAAGTATGTGAACGCCTGCGGAGGGATACACGCCGAGTTATGGTTCCTTGTTATCACCTTCGTG